CTGTGATCAGTACTCTTTGATATTACTTGGGCAAGACCCTCCATCAGCAAAAAGAGTACAACTCACTGAAGGTTCGGATAGCATTTTTTTGCAATGATTTTTAATCAACGTATGTACATTTTTTAAGACATAATGCTGTTGTATAGACTATGGGGTAATGTAAATATAATTTTTATGTTCACTGGAAAACCAAAAAAAAAATTTGCGATTCACTTTATAGTGATGATCTGGACCTGAACCTGCAATATCTCTAAAATATTTCTGTATATATTCACATTCTCTCACTTATGTATACAGTGTGAGCAAGAGGATGCACAGAGGTTATATAGAAAGCAGTTGCCTTCAGGGGAGAAAGGTGTAAGGAACAGATGCAGGAGAGAGTATATACTGTGTGCCCTTTTATACTTTGGATTTTAAGAATATATGAATGTATCACCTATTGAAAAAAATGAATGAAACTATTAATAGGTAAGCTTAATAAACAAAGGCCAGTGACATTGGCTTAAATATATAGGGAAAGGGATTTTGCTGCCTTTTTTCCCCCTACTATTAAAAAAAAGAAAAAGACCCCACTCCTTTAAAAAGCGCCCTGACCTTGTATTCAAGAACCCAGTAGGCGGGGATTCATACCTAAGCAGAAGCCCTTCCTTGCAAAGCATTCAGTCAACAAGTTTGACAAGTACCCTCTATGTCTCTGGCCACTGTCTGAGCACTGAGCACCGAGCACCATGAGAACTCTCGAGGACACAAGCCCCCTCACACCCTCCTCTGTGAGCTGGGCCTCAGAGCGGGCCAGGCTGGGGATTGTTTGTCCCCAACCCCCTTCCTGGGGAGACTTGAGGCCCCTAGTGAAGAGGCAGCCCTTAAAGCCCGCAGGTGGAAGGAGCATGGGGCAGGAAGAGGAAATATAAAGCCTGGGGTCCTGGGGCAGCTGTGCTGGGAAGGAGAAGGGAAGGGAACCCAGGAGGAGACCGCAGCGCTCAGCTAGCTGGAAAGCGGGCAGAGCTGCAGGGATGCCCCCTTCTCTCAGCAGCCCCCCGCCCCCATGTACGGAAGGGCATTTTTTCCTTCTGTTTTCTCTGTCTGAGCAAGCACGGCCCTGGGTTCCCAGGCCTCTCTCATCTATTGACACCCCACTCAGGACCTCGCTGACCGAGAGCCCAGGACCAGACAAAGGCCATCCCAGTGGTATCAGTATTTTTATTTTTCTTGTGACTGAAGACCCCCAGAGGAATACTGTTCTAGGAAAGGCGTTTCTGGCCCCCAGGGGTCTTTCAAGCTTCACTGATCTTCCTATCACAAAGGGAAGGAACACCAGTCACTGTCTCGGGGCTTGGTTTTATGTGGGGAGTTCGGGGAGGGGACTCAGAGGGAGTGACTAGTGGCAGGATTTCAGGGGTCAGTGGCAGGACAGTGGGAAGAAACTGCGACAGGACAGCAAGAACTAGGAAAATTCCTTGGCAAGTGGAATGGGGAACCTGAGACAGCTGAGCACAAGAGCTGAGCAATGGCTAGGAGCACATGGTCACCAGGGCGAAGGCCCCCAGTGCCTGTCAGGGGGCCAAACTGGGAAAACAAGGACCTCGCCCCCAGGGCAACTCCTTCTCCGCTGGCCACTCCTCCCTGGAGAGAACATCTGGGCCTCAGTTGTGATTCAGCTCTGGGCCCAGAAAAGCGGCAAAACCAGGTGGGCGATGCCAGGACCCACTGCAATGGCTAAAGACCCCCTGCCCTGTCACTGACCAATCGGTGGAGACCGTGACCCTGAAAGGCACACCTGGAGAGCTGATGAATATTCTGCTGAAACCCTCCCCTGAGATCCCTGCCTGTGTAGGAGAGAAAGAAGCCCCAAGACAGAGGCCGGTGCGCTGCCCCCTGGGGAGCAGCCTGTGCCGGTCCCTCCTCCCCGCACTTCTTTCTTCACGCGTCTCCTAAACTCCAAGGCAATGGACAGCTGGCATTTTGTCCCAGGCGGATACCCTGACCTTGTCCCTAAAGCCCCCTTTTCTCTGACCTCCCAGGGAGCTAAGGCAGCCCAGCCTAGTCTCTCCTGTTGCTTCTGTGTTAATTCATTCCTTGTTTCACTGTCCTCAGCTTTAAGCAATGTATCCTCACAGCCACCTGGACTCCGGTTGTAAAACCTTTTTCACATGAAGTCAAGAGCCCACACCCCACAGCTGGCCCTAGGTAGACCTGCTCAGGGCCAGGCGCCCGTCTGGTAACAGAAACCTTTGGCCTGTGACCTCCCTTCACCAAACAGAGGGGCGGCTGCTTGCCAAGTACACTGCTCTGAGGCGGCCACCCTGGGCCCTCAGCTAAAACAGATTCTTCCTCCAGGAAGCAAAGGGATCTTGTGCATCTGGCTCAGGGTAGGGAAAGAACAGGAGGTGGGGAGAAATAACACATTCTACCTCTCTTGTCCTGAACAGGAGCCCTGAGCTGAAGGAAAGGCTGAGCCTGATGGGCTGGAAATGCTGAGTCTCAATTTTCAAAACAAGGGCAAGGTTCAGGCTGGTGTAGAACGTCTGAATCTGTTCCATTTATATCTATTAGAACTAGTCCTTTCTATGATATAACAAAGGCTTTAAAAGAAAGTGCTCTGAGTAGTGGCACGTGGGAACCTTCATAAAGAAGTAACACCAACTTCTGGAGCTGGGGACCTGAGTTCAGGTCCTAGTTCCACCAATGCCCTGTCACCTTACAGAAATCACTTCCTTCCTTCCGGCCTCGATTGGCTGGTTTCTGCCACAATAACAACTGAGTGTGCTCTTCCTAGCCCTCCATATTGTTCAGAACGTGAATGTGGTCTGTAGGCCTCATGCTTTCCACATGTTGTGGTTATTATTGCTACCATTAGGATGAGTGTTACCATGGTGATTATTATCCCTGCTCTTGGGTCTTGGAAAGGCCCAAGATTAGAGAGTGGAAATGGGCTATAACTCCCTGGACCCATAGGTCCACCTCTCAAGGACTCTGGCATTTGCCAGTGGGCAAACAGGACACCTCGTTCCCTCTAGCTCAGTTTCCTCATGAAGGAAGTAGGTATAACAGTATATAAGACCTGCTACTTTTTACACACACACACACACACACACACACGCACACGCACACACGCATGCACACACGCACACACGCCTGGGAACAGGAATGTATCTGGTCCAACTTGACAGATAAGTAACAGAGCAGCAAGGTGACTTTACCAGGACCAGGCCGTGATAGTGATTAAAACCCGGGCCTCCTGTGCTAAAGCCCAGCTGGTATTCATGTCACTGCTCTCCACCCCCAGCCAACACTGGGTCCTGACCACACACAGGGGCCAGGCTGGGGATCAGGGACCCCAGTCACAGTGACTGGCTGGTTGGGCTCAGTGTTCTTTCTGCAGTTCGTGAGCATTTGCTTAAAGCAGCACATTTCATGTGCTCTTTTCTCAAGACGTCCCAGCTGTAAGTGGAAATGGGGCCACGGGTGCAAGGCAGGCAGGCCCCAAATGCTTCCTGCTGCACCTTTGCACTCAGGCCTAAATTTCTGATGGGGGAGGAGTTCAAGTCCAGATGACGGCAGGCTTCGGAGAAAGGTCCCTCTTGCTCTGTGTGTAGGACAATGGGCCTTCTTTGCAAAACCCCCACCCCCACCCCAGAGTGACTCCTGAGGAAGTCCTGGGGGTAAAGGGGCTCCATTCAAGAGTCTAGATCCTTCTATGGGGCAGGTCTGGATTTGCAGACTTGATTGGCTGGGAATTCTTACCCAGAACCCCAGATTTTATACAAGATCTTACACAGACCCCCAAACTGTAACACAGATGCAAGAGAGCTGCACTGGTGGATCCAGCTGCTACTTAGGCACAGAACCACCTGGGCTGTAGAGGTCCTGGTTATGGCAACCAGCATGTCTTCCATCCTTCCCCCGACCCTCCCCCGCTCAGCCTGCCTGCTCCTGGAAGACTGGGTTTACAGTGCCCGGTGCACTGCAGCAGGGCTCCCATTGCCCTCTGCCTGAGCACCAAGTCCCTTCTCCTGGCATTCGAGGCTCCTCGTGGTTGGTTTCAACATGCCTGTCTTTCCTCACCACTCACTGGGTCCCAGTTCTCTGGTCTCTTCACTACCTGCTACATCTACGGTGTTGGGCTTCCTATCCCTCCCACCTTTTTTTTTTTTTTTAAGGATATTTAAGTAGGTGATAGGATCCTGTTTGCATTTTTAATAGAACACTTTGAGGTTGTTTTTTTTTTTTAAGAGATTTTATTTACTTTTAGAGAGAGGGGAAGGGAGGAAGGACGGGAGAAACACATTGATGTGAGAGAGAAACATCAATCAATATAGTGCCTCTCCTAGTGCCCCAACCAGGGACCGAACCTGCAGCCCAAGCAGGCGCTCTGATCAGGAATCGAACCGGCGACCTTTGGTTTTGCTAGCCAACTGAGCCACACCAGTCGGGCTCACCTTGTCTTTTTCCAAACCTTACCATCTATCCAAGCTTCTCTTGAGAGTCGCTGTTTCCTGGAATCCCTCCTGCCCACACCAGCTGTCAGTGGCCTCCCCCTGAAACACAACGGCTCACACAGGTGGTGCTGTGTAAAGTAGCACCTGATTCTTATGTGGCATATAGCTGACTCATTGATGTTAACATGTGTCACTTCCTCCAGGTGATCCGCATGGTTCACTCATGAAGACGGGCATCTTTCTCTAATATCAAGGCCTAAATACTATGAATTTCAGCACATGCTATGGCTTCAATGAATAGCTGCTAACTTTAACCCCTTCCACTGCAGCACTCCTGGGGTTGCGGAAGCTCCTCCCTCATGTGGGGAGAATGGTGGCAGCTTTGGGGGTTGGCCATCATGGGCGCGAGACCTGGACTGAAATTGGATGCTGGCAGGTCAAGCCTCCGCCAGGCTTTCCTTTCTGTAGCAGATTTCCTTGAGATGTGCAACTCTCTCCAACTCAGGAAGACCGTATTGAGATGAGTGAGGCATTAGCCAGTGGCTCTGGCCTATCTTTCAGGGATTTGAAACTGGACAACATCCTTCTGGATGCAGAAGGTCACTGCAAGCTGGCCGACTTTGGGATGTGCAAGGAAGGGATTCTGAACGGCGTGACGACGACCACATTCTGTGGGACTCCTGACTACATTGCTCCCGAGGTAAGACCGTGGGTCAAGGGCCACCTCCTGCTGCTGCCATGGCTGAGCCTGGTGGTACTGGGGCAAGGCTCTGGGAAACCAGGGTGGTTCCAGGGAAGGAGGAGAAAAGGCTTGCTGACTTCTCCATGAGGACGCGGCAGTGATGGGGGAGCTAATGGGTGAAAGTAACAGGCAGTTCCCCAGATCTAGACAGGTCCTCCTAAATATTTCTCTTTTACTCCTGTCCAGAACTACCAGTGGAACTGGGACCAAGAGAAATTTGTTGACTTGTACCATTGTTTTCACTTGTAACCTGAATAAAGGAGCATCATCGGTAAAGGCTACAATTTGCCTACAGTAAAAGCAGGCGTAACTGGCCATTCTTAGGGTAGTGGCGATTCCACAGAGGAAGCACACGGGATCAAGGAGGAGGGGGAGACAAACTGCCTCACAATAAATGGAGCTCAGAGATGTTCATTTGGAGCCTCACCCATGGGTTGCCTTGGGGGAAAGTCATTTAGGTGTTTTGTTCAACATAAAGTGTCTGTTTGCCTTGAGTTACTCCAGGCCAAGCTTGCCCAACTGAGAGATACCTAGTGTGATATGATTCTGACTTAAGACATAGCTGATCATACATACTTTATAAAAATGGCCTTGAGGGTTGTGATACATGGAAGATGGAAAGGAAGTACCAATCCCCATTAAGCATTGCCCGTGCTAGGTAGGCGTGTGTTAGCACAGTTAGATTTCATTCCCTTTCAGTAGGCATTGTTTGAGTACCTGCTAGACACAAACCAATGTGGGGATAAAGAATTGAGTAAGACACTGGTCTCTCTCCTAAAAGACCTTTTGGTCTAGAGGGAGTAACAGGTAAGTAAACAACTAATTAAGAAGAATAAATATGTACGAAATACAAGATGGTATCCTCAGGGATCAGGGAAGGCTTCTTGGAGCACCTGGTTAATGATTTGAGTTGTAAAAAATTAGCAGGATTTCCTTTGGTGGTGGGGGTGGGGAACATTCCTGAGAACAATAGGGAGGATTGAGAGGGGGTAGGACAGGGGAGGAGGTTCACCATCCCTGGGCTATGAATCCTTCAGAGCAGGAGCTGTTTCTAATCTGGGTACTTCCTGGATCCAGCACACAAATCTGGCTCTTAGTAATGGATTGTTGAATGAATAAATGACAGTCCATTGGGACACTCCAACATGAGCCAAGATGAAGGGATGAGAATGTTCTTGGCCTTTTTTAAGAAAGGAAAGCAGTATAACTAGAACAGAGGATTTCTTGGTGCTCTTTACAATGAATGAGATTAGAATAAAGGACCAAGGAAGATGGCCTTTATCCCCTAGGATCTGTGGAGCCATGAAGGGCCTCCCAGTATAGAAGGGCCATAATCAGATCTGTCCCGGGAAGAAGATGGGCATCAGCTGTGTGGATCAGAGGGCACAGTGCGAGGGAAGGACAATTGAGAGACGTTCCACAGGCCAAATGAGATAGAGGGGTCTGGGGAGGGTCAGAAAAGTGTAGATAAAATAATAGATAAATTCTCATTAGAACCTCTATCTTCTGAGAGATCTGAAGAGTAGAGATTTCAGCCAATAATGACTAGTGTGCTCCCTTAGCAGGAATACTAGGAATTTAACCTTCCAGGTGAAATCAGTGAAAGCCAGGGCTCTCAGCTGGGACCTGCTTTTTCAGCATCTTCCTCATTCATCCTTTGTCATCATAATGCTTGTTTCCAACCCCTCTGAGCTGATGCCAGAGTTAAAGGGTCGACAGCCCAGGGTGGCTGTTAAGGACCCAGCCCAAGACAAATATTCACTTTACGATGAACGAAGTATACACACAACTTTCATGAAAGGCCATCCACTGGCAAGACTCACAATCAACAACTCTGATCTCTGTTGAAGAGGCTCAGACACTCTTCCTTCCCAGCCTACACTCGTGCCCACTAAGCAGAATCACCTCTGCATGTAAAGTGGCTAATAATCCCTGGTCTCACTATAGGCAAGTTACAGCTGATAAAGGTAGCACTGCCTTTATCAAGGGCTATGGACAAGACTAAATGGAAGTGTGCCTCTAAAGTATTCAGCACAGCGCCCGGCCCATAGCAGGCACTGGGTAACACATAGGGGCTCCATCATTGCCGTTATTGCTGGGTAGTGTAGTCAGATGGGAAAAGCATAGACCTGAGAGTTGAGATCCCAAGCCAGGCTTGACCACTAATGCCCTCATGTGACCTTGATCACATGGTTTTGATCCTCAGGTTCTTTACCTTTCCAACGGGAATAACAATTCCTGCCTCTCCTACCTACCTCACCAAGCTCTTTTGAGAATCTAATGAGATTAAAGCGTGGAGCATGACTCTGCTTCAGAAAGCATAAGCCTCTATTCAGGAAGAGGGGTTGTGAGGTGGCAGGCTAACCCGAAACCAGAGACACCCTCTGAGACGCTAGCTCTGCCCCAGGGCTTCTCTTCCCACCGTATGCCCTTGGCCAACCCCCATCACACCCTCTCCTGTCTTCACACCCAGCCCCCACGCCCCAGGAATGGTGGCCAGATCCCATGCCGACCCATCTCTTCTGCGCCAGCTCTGACCCACTCAAGGGGTAGCTGCTGCGCTGGGTGCCCTCCCATGGCGTGCAAAGCCTTGCCCTTCTCATCAGCTCCATCACAGCCAAGCCGATTAGGAAGCAGATAATTAGGGCCAAGCCTAAAAGCAATTTTACAAAAGATGCCACCCAAATGGGAAAGCCCTGGAAGAGGCCGGGGGAAAGGTGGGGAGGGCCACTCTGTGGTTCCTACAGCACCGTCCTGTCTGAGCGTACACGGGCCACCTGGAGGCTACCTCCCGTCACCCTGCCAAGGCATAGGACTCAGTTGTGCCACCTCCTGGAGGCTGGAGGGTGGCCATGTTAGCACTTAGAGTCCCCTGTGCTAAGAGGAGGAAGGAGCACACTCAGTTAGGCACACACAGCGGGCAAGTGTGGCAGCGAGTCTCCTGAGTGTTGGAACTGTGTGGGTCACAGTGGGGGCTCAGAAGAATGCTACAGTCTCTACCACCTGCTTACTTATAGATGCCCAGAGAGGCAGTTGACCATGAGAAAAATAACTAAAATCATGGTAGTAGTGAGAGGTGCCTGCAGATCTTAGGGACAGGTAAGAGAAAGACTGGAGAGATCCGAAAAAGATTTCTGGAGGAGGCAAGTGATAATCATGACTTTGAAGAACAGAAACTGGTGGCCCTGTATGATGCAGGTTGGGACACTGGATCTTTCAAGGTTGAAGGAGGCACTGGCCTGGCTTTCAAACAGAGCAGCATTACTGGCCCCTCAGGACAGTGGCAACTATAACTCTGACCTCTAACAGAGACCACGTGCTAACCACTGGCTGGGCTAGAGACCAAAGATACTCACCAAACACGTTCCAGCACCAAATAATTTAGATTTGGCTATATTTGCTCATATTCCTTTTCATTGTAAATTCAAAATATTCCTAGAACGTGTTTTTACTATTTTCAAAATCCTTCTACCCAAGTCTTTTTATTTAACCCCAGGCAATCTATAATCTCTAGAAGAGTGTTTTGAGTAGACCCCAGAAAGCCCACATGCTGGGCTTCAGCCTCCTCTTCACTGGCTGTCTTGAAACCTGAGAACTGAGCTGGAGACTTGTTCTGGTATAAGTTATCTAAGAAGTCACCTGTCTGAGGTGTCCTGCAAGCTGTGATGATTAGACATAGCCTTTGCCATTTGGGGCACCTCAAATGAAAGGAAGCGGGGGCCTGAGGCTTTATAGAGGCAGGTAAATGAGGGATTCATCAGCAAGTGATATGGGAGTCATGAGAAACATTCGAGATGAGTCTTTCCTTGGAATATGCCAGAGCATAGTGGTCCTTTTTAATTAGAACACAAAAGAGTGGGGAGACTTATGAACTATACTTTGTTTTCCAAGAGCACAGGGCTCAGGTATACTCACAATTGTCAATTGTCATCATTTAAGGAACACTAAGATTCTGCTTTCCACCCAGTGAGCCATGCATGGACTGAGTGTGAGACAGGAGACCTGAATTTCCTGCACACAGTCACTCACAGCTTGCTTGTATCTCTTTTAGTCTGCATCTTGCTCCTCTGATCCCAATTTTAATGTCAAAAATATACATTTTTTTTTAACTTGGCTGTGAACACAAGTCAAGAACTTCACCTGGTGTTCAAACAAAGAAACAGTGAATTGTCCCCACTGGAGGATGGACTACGGGGATTGACTTTGAAGAGATGCTAGTTGGCGCCCAACATAGTGACATAATGTCTCTGAAACTCAATTTCCACTGAATTTACTGATGCAGAGCCTGACTTTGTATAACTTGGGGCTCCGCTCTGTGGAGGGGCAGGCTGGAAGCGAAGGTGCTGTTCTGCCCATGGGTGCTTGTGGCGCAGGCGTGGGTGCGGGTGGGAGTCTTTGCTGGGCGCTGACATTTGCCCATTTCCTGAACAGATCCTGCAGGAGTTGGAGTATGGCCCCTCAGTGGACTGGTGGGCCCTGGGGGTACTGATGTACGAGATGATGGCTGGGCAGCCCCCCTTTGAGGCCGACAACGAGGACGACCTGTTTGAGTCCATCCTCCATGATGATGTACTCTACCCCGTCTGGCTCAGCAAGGAGGCCGTCAGCATCCTGAAAGCTGTGAGTCGCTGCCCTGCACCCAGCATCTCTTTCTTCTTACTCTGTCCCCCTCTCTCCTTCCTCCCCGCCCCACTTCCTCCCTCTCCCTTGCTGTCTCCTCCCTCTCCCTCCCAGTCTCTCTCTGTCCCACCTCTGCTCACTGCTGAGTGGAAGGAATGGAGGGCACTCACCGCTGGGAGCTCAGGCTTTGTGCAGAGGGCTGCCGCTGAGAGAATGGCGCCTCAGACGAATTGCTCTTCTTGTGGGAAGCAGGCAGTGTATTTGTGTTTCCTGAGGAGGAGTTCTGTGCACAGTGGCCTCCTCCCGGGAGTATTTCAGAGGAAGCAAAACCAACCCAAACTGCCCTGGGATCGCCCCTGCTGCTTCAGCTCTGGGGCTGGACCCTCCCTTCATACCAGCCACCGTGGCCTGTCTTCCTCTGGGGCCTGCGATGGGGAAGAGAGAGGAGGGGGGAGAGGAGGACACTGTGTACCTGCATCCACGAAGGCACTGCTGTGGCTGAAGAGCTGATCAGAAAAGAAGTTTCCACTCAAGACCTATGCAGCTGTTCTGGATTCAGACAGTGTCAGAGAGAGGCTGTCCTCACCCCCACAGATAACCCCTTACATGTGAAATGCTTAATACTTGCCCAAGGCAGCTGTTTCTACAACAGAAAACACTTAGACTGAGGCAAATCAGTGGTTACCTTTCGGCCGGGGGGAGGCTGTGGATGCTGAGGTGCAGGGAAGCTAAGTGGCCCAGTTTACCTGGGCAGGGTCACCCCGCCGGCCTGAAGCCCTGAAGCGGGACCGTGGTGACAGTCCAGGAACCTTGACTTCATTTCACCAGTCACAATGCCCTGAAGTTTGGTTTGCAAAATTAGCCATATCCATGTACTCCCCCTACCATGTTGGTTTTTCTTGTTCTTTCAGTCAACTCCCAATATTTACCTAGTTATATGTATTTTACAAAGAAATTTGATGACACTATCATTAATGGAAAATCAGTATCATTGCCATAACTAATTAATATAATTTATCATATGAAAATGTTAAAAAAAAACAACTAAAAATATTTTCTGGGTGTCTGGGTGGGGCTTGGGGGAGGAACATAGCATATGTTGGAAAATGCCACATCAGAACATGTTACTTTTTGCTATAGTTGGGTTTTTTCCCCTTCCTTTATCCCTCGCCTCATTTTTTCCCACCCTCTCATCAACTCCCCTTTCTTTCCCTCACTTTCCTTCCATTCACTAATTCAGTTAATATTGAACCACTGTCTTTTGAGCGTGCCAGGCATTCAGCCAGATGCTAAGTAAGTTCTGGCGACTATAGCAGCCATGGTCCCTTCCAGTGCAGCTTACAGTCCAGTGGGAGAAGGTGGGCAGTAAATAAATACATCCATACATGGTCACAATTGGAATAAGATCAGTGAAGGAAGCAAATAGAGTATGTTTATTCACTTACTCATTTATTTAACACTTATTATTGAGTGTCTAGCATGTGGCAGGCCCCGTGCCAGGTACCAACCAAGGAAAAACCCGCAGCACCCAAGGCGGCCACAGCAGCCCAGCAGGGCTGGCCTCTCACCCCAGGCTCTGAACAGCAGCCTGACGTGCCTTCCTGGGAGCCTCCCTGCCAGCGCCCCAGGGAGCCCTTTCATTTTGGAGGACCCGGAGCCCTGTCAGTGCCTGCAGACATTTCTAGTTGTTGCAACCTGGAGCAGGGGGTGCTACTAGCGGCTAGTGTGCGGCGGGCCTGGAATGCTGCCAAATATCCTACCATGTGCAGCACGGCCCCGGCGGCAAAGACGTACCTGGTCCAAAATGTCATTCGCACAGAGCTTGAGAAACTTCAACCTACAGACTTGCAGAAGCTAGAGATCGTGCCCGTGTCCCCAGTTAGTGAGGGTGAAGTGTCTGAGAAAAGGCACCTTCCTTGTGACAAGAGCCCCCTCTGGCTCGGGGCGGCTTCCTGGGGCGTTAAAACCTGTGGGCTTATCCGCAGCCCTGGCCTGTTGCCTCCCTGAATGGGAGGCCAGGAAGAGCAGAGGAAGTAAGGAGCAGTCTCCTACTCCCTTGGCCTTGGAACCCTTCACTTCCTCACATTGTCGCTCGATTCCAAGGCCAGGCCAGGCTTTCCATGACTCTGGCCACTCAGCTGTGTCTCTGAGGGCTGCTGCCTCTGTGAAGGTGAAGCAGAACTCTAGAGCGGCCATCGCATTGCAGGGTTACCCGGTCCACAACTTCTGCACCTGTGAGTGGAGGCCCTGCTGCCCCCATCCTCAGCTCGCTGCCCTGAGACCTGGCCCTCAGCCCCCTGTTCAGTCGTTTCAGTGTAGTGAGTGCATAGGGGCAGCCAGGCCCTGAGCCCGGTGCTGGGAACGGAGGGCTGATCCTGGGTCACAGAACTTTCCAAGGGAAGGAGATGTTTTAGGCATGTTATAATTTAAATAAACAAGAAACAGGAGGTCCCACATGGGGGGTAATCTGGGGAGGCTTCCCAGAGGAGGCAGCATTTTGACTGGTCTCGGAAGATGCAGAGGCACTGCAGAAGAGCATCTAACCAGGGGGAGAAAGATGCAAAAGGCCAGCAAGATAGACTAGGTTCAGACCAAGACGTTTCTCTGCGCCAAAGTAAAGACTATGGGCTTTATCCTGCAGGTGATAGGAAACCATGAGAGGCATCTAAGCAGAGGTGGCCTCTGCTGACTTTGATTAGAAAGGTGAAGTGCGTTGGTACCTTTCCTGACTCACATCTACCCACCACCCCTTCACTGTCTCACCCAACCATGGCTCTCGCTCTTCCAGTAGCATTTGGTCTGTGCCCATGCACTTTGGTTTCAGGGGCACCAGGCAAGAGGTAGTAAGAGGCTCTCCCAGTCTTTCTTGCTGATGAATACTGAAATTCTGCCATTATAGATCTATTCCTTTGGCTTATAGTTTGTTCTCTAAAGTTGCTTTGTTAAATACAGACACAGCCTTCGCCCTCTGAAATGTAACACTTTGTCTCTAACACATGCACACACATGCCCCTACCTTTATTTTGGATGGCTATCAGAACTGTTTCCACCTACTAGCACTGTTTTTTTCCCAAGGTTATATGGTTACATATCTGCTCATTTAAATTAACATTTGTCATCAGGACTGACTCATTGAATAAGAATGAGTTCTCGTGGGCGTGTGGGGTCATGAGACACCAGCCAAAAAATGTTTAAAAAAAAAAACAACACATCAATGTGGTTTTTATGGACAAGCACTAAGAGCAGTAAGCCTTTCTTTTTCTTGTTTTTTCAGAATCTTTTTATCTACATGTGTATTTTGTGCTAGAGATTACAAATTCAAATCTTTAGAAAGCAGGAGGGCCCAAGTCCAGAAAAAGGAAAGGGCCGGAGGTGCGTTTGATAATTTACCACAATATGAGTATCTGCTCCTCTTTCTGTACCTCGGAAAGGACTGCTGACCTCTGGGTGTAAGCAGGTTGATCAGACCTCAGTCTCCCTGAGGAGAAGGCTTGAGAATCTGAGGGCAGTAAGGGAGTTAATAAGAGCCTGAGTTTCTAATCCAGACCAGGTGCCTTGCTGGCTGTTTGGCCTTAGCCAAGTTAATTAACCTCTCTGTGCCTCAGCTACCTCACTTATAAAATGTGGATAATAATAGTAGCTCAGAGGGTTGTATTTGGCCAAAGTTAAGTTATACAAACACACACACACACACTCTCTCTCTCTCTCCCCCCTCCCTCTCTGTTTGGAATGGTGGTTGGCACAGAGTAAGCTCTATATAAGAGTTAACAAGTACCTGGAAGGGTGAAGACCCTAAAAGTACAGAAAACAGGCTTGGGAGGCTATACCGAAGACGTGGCCTTGGCTGACTTCCATCTTTCCCTCACAGCCTGTGCCTGTTGGGCCTTCATCATTAATTCTGCCTATGTCCTCATCCCCGCAGTTCATGACCAAGAACCCCCACAAGCGCCTGGGCTGTGTGGCAGCACAGAATGGCGAGGACGCCATCAAGCAGCACCCGTTCTTCAAGGAGATCGACTGGGTGCTCTTGGAGCAGAAGAAAATCAAGCCCCCCTTCAAACCTCGAATTGTAAGTAGGGCCCGGAGCTCCTCACTCCCCGTGGCTGGGCCTGCGTGCCGTGCGTGGGAAGACGGTCTGGGCACATCTCACAACCAAAATGACAAGTGCATGAGGCAGCCAAGGCACTCCCTAAAAAAGCCTGTGCAGCCCTAAGAGTTTTCTCTAGAAAACATCACAACCTGCAGCCATAACCAAGATGATTTATATGAGACACAGAAGAACATTTTTTACTTTACTGGAGATTTACTTGTTTATTTTTATCAAAAACTATGAATGATATGAGTTCTCCCTGTGTGGTAGCAATAGAAAGTTTCTTTATAAATAACAGATTTGTTTTTTAAATGAGTCAATTTAAAGAAAAATATCACCTCAATAACAGCCACAGTCATTATGTGGAACTAGCACAGAGCATGAAGTTGTGACTCAGTGGCTGACATTTGAGGACTGTCCCATGGGAACCCCTAGGGGCCAAATCTGTGAGAGGCCAGTTCCGGAGGCCACGCCAGAGACCTCCTGTCCCTTCTCCGTCCCTCTGTCCCTTCGAGCTTTCCTCTAGTGTCAGCATTCCCTTCCTTCCGGGTCCTCAGGCCCTTTCGGGTGGTGCTAGTGGAGGGGTGCAGGAGAGGGTGTTTGCAGCTCACGGGTCAGAAAAAGGAATGGAGCTGTCGAGTCTGGGCTTGACTCAGAGCAAAGGCTGTGTCCTGGCAGTGACCTGCTGGAAGGGGACAGCGCTGGCACTGCCCTCCTGAAAGTTAGCAAGAACGCGCGTGTGTGGTGGGAAACCGGCATCTTAATTCCGTTGGCTTTTAGCATGATGAGGCTGAAAACGTGGGTAGCCAGCCAGCGTGCTTCCTGGGGGTGAAGAAGGATGTGTACTATCGGCGTTTACTGGGCAGAAGCCCCAGGCGGCCCTCAGTCACCCCACATTGTCAGATGACCCCTGCTCACTGCCGGGCACACCAACAACCCTCCTGTGCTTTGTGAATCATCAGAGAGGAATTCCGTTATATTTCAGAAGGTTTTCTGGGAAGCGAGTATCGATAGTGCTGTGCTTCTCAGTGTTCTTGGGGGGGATGGGAGGGGGGGAGTAGCGCGGCGCGCACATGGGTAATCGAGCGGAGGAACATGGTCCAGGCCTCAGCCGGATTCTAGAGCATACGACTCAACCGTCCCCAGACAATCCGCCCTGTCACTGTTCTTCATGTGCCTTCTTCTTTGGTTTTAAGATTTGTCACTGGCCAGCACACAGCTTGGAACAGGCTAGGCTTAGGATCGCTTTTCCTGGGTAACATCACCCCCACCCTGCCCATCTCCCCACCGCTCTGGGACCAGCTGAGCCAAGCCCAGGCTGGGGTGTTGGGACAGGGCTCACTGTACATGCCAGCCTGCCGAAGGCTGGCCCTCTTCCCAGGGTCCATGCAGCTGGTCTTCAAGGACAAGATTAGCTCTACCCCGACAGACTGAGGGGAAGTAGGAAACCAGAGGCCGGGCAGAGGAGGAGGAGAAACTAGTCTTGATCTGATCCAACGGTGACATGTTAATTTAGGTTCAATCTAAGTGAATCAACTCAAATAAAACTGGGAAGTAGAGCTAAGCAAAGAACCCAGACCCAACAAACAGGAATCTAGTACAAGATCAAAGACTGATCAGCCAGCGCAGGCCTACAAAGTGAGTTAAACCTCAACTTGAACTTCAGGTCAACAAAACGACTTAAAGCTAAGCTTGTGGGGTTTGGGGGCGGGGGATGAGGCAGGGCTGGAGGAGTGGCTTCTTCCTGTGGCCTGCAGGGCAGAGAGGACACGGCAACCCCAGGGGACCATCCGCAAGGGCTGTGAAGGGGAGAGCGGGCCTAGGTAAGGCAGAGGCAGGAGCAGGTCTTTGCAGAGAGGCCACACGGAAGCAAGCAGTCAGGGAGATCTCTCACTATGGGTTCAGGAGGAGGAGTCTCTCACGGACGCAGAAGAAGTGGCAGACCATTGCGCAAATCCAGCAGAGGAGAGTGCTCTGAGGGTTCAGGAGGCCGAGCAGCTCTGGCCCCCGAAACCCTAGCCGAAGCCCTAGCAGAAGCCCTAGTAGTCCCGGGGTACCTCACTGAGGCTTCCACCCTCCGGTCTGAACTCCGAGGCGACGGAGAGCACAGACCTGAGAGGAGTGACGCAGCGGTGCCTGGCTTCCCCGGAGTGAGGGAACGGTGTGAAGAACAGGTGTGCGGTTCCAGGGCCGGAGGGATGGGGAAGGAACCAGACGGAGAGGATGGGGAAAGAGTGAGGAATGAATCAGGAGACCGAGCCTGTGACCTGAGCCACTGCTTTGCAGGCCCCACCTGGTCCTGTCAGGGGTCCCCGTAAAGCTGTCCCTGGCCAGGAGTGCAGGGGCTCATGTGGGCACGGTGTGAGGGTGTCCTTGGGTACCAGCAGTACATCCCTGGGTCGGTGGGTTGGGACCACCTGAGGGGCAGGTGGGACAGCATCTCTACCTGGTGCACAAGGGACCTATGCTCCCTTCCTTCCTTGTCCCTCCAGACAATGCCAGCCCCCGACCCCCGCCCCAAAGCAGAGGGCAAAACGCTATGTGCTTCCTTTGCGGAGGGGCTCAGGTGGGCTCAGGCCTTGCCGTCCCCTGAGAGGATGGCAATGACAAAGGGACAGGTCTGGCCAGCAGCCCCTGCCAATTTCCAAGTGCCTTAGCCAATCCTGAAGGCTCATTTCATCACTGCCTCAGAAATCACCTCCTGTGCATATTCCTGCTCACCCCCGACAGACCTCCAGAGTTGCCCTCGCCACGGCTGGGGGTCAGGGGAGAGGCCATTTATTTGGTTGATTTGAATTCAGTTTGGAGGAGAGAATTAGAACATCTGAAGGAAGGATAAAAAGGAAAACTTACATTGTGCAACAGTGTGTTTCTGGACATACTTTGAGCTGAATAATGTTGATCCTTCCAACCTTCTCAGCTATAGATCTTTAAAGACTTAAATTATTTAAATATATGATCACATTTATGTCCTTCAGACTAGAGATTTCCCTCTGGGAAAATATCAAAATTGGGAAAGAAAAGAATAATCCTCATCTAATTAGCAGGTTGGAAACATGTCCCAAATCCACCCCTAGATTGAAAGGTCTTTTCTGAAAAACGTTAGCAGCACCAGCCTAAGTCATCCGTGGGCCTGTGCACAGCAGAAGTGGATTTCTGAGTTGAATGAAAGCCCACCGCAGTGATGAACGTACTGTACTTCTCATCTCTGACAGCCTTGCAGGGCCAATGTGAAATCTCACGGAAGGTTTTTCCAAGCCTTCACCCCCTCTGACCTACTGAGGATTAGCCCCGGGGGTTGGGGTGCCTGCCTGGCTTGAAACCAACTGTGAGGACGACTTGTGCTCCATACACAGGGTCAGCCTTACCCTCAGGCAAGATAGGTCGCCCTCTATCTTTGGCCATTGGAGAGACACTGGGAGGCAGAGGTATGTCCCCACAGAAGCCATCCTCCCTTCATGGGACGGGAGTTCTTTCACAAGACAGGCTTTCAGTGTCAGAGATCTGAAGCTACATCAGGTGCCTTCCAGAGGGAGCTGGGAGAGAACAGTTATGACAGAGGAAATGAAGGCGAGCTGGTTTGGAGGCTGAAATTGGGAGGAAGTAGGCAGGAGAGTCAGTGCAGGCAGCCAGGTACAGAGTGAGGCTCTTGGATCTTAGGGATAGACTCCAAGACAAAGGAAAGACACTGTGAGAAGATGAGGGTGTGGGGGGAGGGACAAGTGTGAGCAAACATCACCAGCCTTGCAATGCGTGGTAGCCTTAAGAAGACACAGCGCATGTGTTTAGCAGACAAGGAAACCAGGCGCACAGACTCTCCTGATCTCAGCAGGCTGAGGCTCCCAGGGGATCCGGTCAAGGGCCTGCAGCCTGTGAGGGAACGTGGGTCTCGTCTGCCCTGGGCCAGCTCCACTTGCTCCCTCCCCATGCCCTTTGACATCACACCGCAATGCTCCCCATCCCAGAAACCTGCTGAATAGCTACTGTCCTATGACCTGGCTGGCCGTACTGAATCTGAGGTACAGTGTCTGATTCAGGAAGGAATTGGTTTTGCCTGATGGTAGGCGGAGGAGGTGAAGCTGGTGAAGGTCAAGGCATCCAGTCTAGGATTTGAGACGTAGTGGCATGTTTTCCAGAGCTCCTACCCATCCCCACTCCCATGACGCGGGTCCCCTTCCTGGAAGAACCTCTGGCAGGCCCCCGGAGCCTGCCCTAGATCGCCCCCATGGGGGCTGAGGGTGTGGCAGGAGAACAGATCCCAGGCCTGATTCCCGTCCCTCCCCAGGGCCTCCCCCTGTGAAGATAGCGCGGAGGAGATTGTCCAGATTCCTGGCTGGAATTTGGCCTCTGGTCAGGTTCTATCGCATACCTCCACTGGCTGCTGTCCCCTCCAGGCCTCTGCCTTCCTGAGATGTTTGCTAGGCTGAGGTTTCTGCTCCCCGGCGCCTGCACCTCCCCAGCTAAGCCCTGCCCTGGCTCCCAGGCTGTCGCTAGCTCCGCTGGGTTTCCTGCCTTCAGGTTCATTCATGCTCCTTGCAGAGGCCCCCACCCCAGAACAGTTTCAGGGGCCTCAGTTTCCGCGTGGAGATTTTTCTCTCACTTACCCTCCCAGCTCTGTTACGCATTCTCCCCCCTCCACTTCCTTTCCATCCTCCCCCTGCGCACCCACACACTCAACCAATGTACAAGCAGTGTGGCATCAGCACTAAACCAAAGACTTGGTACTGGCCACCAGGTACTCACATGCATTTTCTGGGGGTGTCTGGCTTCCAAGCAAGGACACACTCAGCGGGTGGCAGGCACCCCAGCAGTGAGTGGGGGAATAGAAAGGCCAACCAGGCTGGAGCCAATGCCTTTGATGCTGGAAAAAAAATCTCCAAGCCTAGAATTCATTGGTCTTTCCCACTGGGGATTTAGATCCAAGAGAGTAGTATTGTCTAGTTGCCAGTAAAAGTAGCACATTTAGTGTTTGTGTTGCT